ACATGTAATTGTGAAGGAGACCTCATATCTACATAAATGGCTAATCCATGCTGAGAAACACCATATCAAAACCCAGGAGCTAAGTGGCAGCACTAACAGCTAGGTGGTAGCTGCTGATGAAGGCGGCTGCCAGTCACTAGATGCTCTTATCAGTTATTCTGATGTCTCAAATTCTCTGTCAACTTGAGTCAAGCCTCATCTCATGCTTTAATTCCCTGAGCTCCTTACATTTACTTGACTGGACTGTACAAATGCAATCAGCACGCCATGCTGTGATGGACTCTTACAGCCACTGATGTCCATCTAGCCCTGGTTTCTCCTTAGCCAGTGGGATGACCCATCAAATTCAATGAAAACATTCACATGCATTGTTTCAGCACCTTATTGGTTTTAAATAACATGCCTCACTGTTTGTATGGTGCTCATACTGAGAAAAATTATGAATACTGAGTACTACCTTCCCTTCTCTAAATTCTCTACATACTGGCATGCAGCTTGTTTTTTCATCTGATGTCAGGTATTTCTGTATCTTTGCCACAGGCAATGCAAACAATGCATCTCTTCATTCATTTGTTCACAGCTTCAGTTTTCCTCTGATCCTACAGATCAGCCTTCCTTCCTCCTCCTGCCATTCTCTTGCAGAGCTGCTTCACCAACTTTCCTACTCCCAACATCCTTCCATCTGTGAAAGCAGAGCAATCCAGAGCAGTGCACGTACCTGTTTAACCTGTTGTTAATGTTTGTGCCTGGGCTTTACAGCTTACCTTGGAGAAGCCACCTGGAAAGTTCCAAGACGTCTCTTCAGTGCAGAGAGAAAAGTGTGGTCTGCAATGTCCTCCCTGTGCTGAGCTGCCCCAATGAGCAGGAGGTGTGCAGAACTGCTTCCAGACATTCCTCCCCTTCCTTGCCAGAAGGTTTCACCTGAAATGAGCAGCCTGGTGAAAGACTCTGAAAAGGTCCAAACAATGTAATGTGGTTAGAGGGTCCACAAGCAGGGCAGAATGCCCCCACTGCTCAGCTGTCCTTAGATAAGCCCCTCCTGCATTATACAGCTGTGTTACATGATTTGTTGAGATAAAAAGTAAAAAACAGCTGGAAGGGAACCTACCTCTAAGAACTTTGCTGGGAAGGCTTGGGCAGACTGCACACTGCACGGGTCAGAGCAAGGCAATTTGTTTGGGCCACTCCTTCAAGCTGCATGAATAATCAGTAGAATTTGCTAGACAAAAAATTTCACAGGACTAGGTGAAAAAAGAGAGAACAACATCTAATACCCAAGCACTTCCTTAATAAAGCCTTCACCAAATGAGCATTTCAGACTCCCAAAAGACACCTTCGAGGATCTGTATCTTCCAAGGCACTGGCATTTCAACATTTATGACTGCAGACACGCTACTATATTGCAAGCATGAGTCAATGCCCACATCTCCTGGCTCCAGAAGAAAGGGATTGTTCTAGTTTTTATTTATAAGCTGGGCAAGAGGAGAGAGAGTAATTTGGTTACAGGCAAAGCACACACAGACCCTGCAAGGTCAGGTAGGCTGGTTAACACATGAACATATCCGTGCCTCAGTGAACTGAGTCACAAACACCACAATCCATCTCTGCATCCTTTCATGTAAGGCCTCAGAAAAGGGCTTTGTACATAATTTTTGTTGCCTTCCAGCACAAAGCCCGTGGCCTCTACATCATTCACTAGAGAATTCCAGCGCCATGTAGAGCGTGTTGCAATCCAAACTGGGAGTTTCTGGCAATAAACATTTGTGAGTATGCACACAATATAAAACAGGAAGAAGGATTTCAGTTTATCTGTGTTCACTTGAGCTTATTTGTTGCTTGGGAAAAAAAAAAGAAAAAAAAGCCTGGCAGACTTCCCACCACTATGCAATAGTCTAGGAAGGCTCCTGTCACCTGGGGACTCACATGCTGATGTGTGAGTGAAGAGAGCAATAGGCAGGATTCATGGGGTTTTCAGCAGGATCCTAATAAACTCTGTCATGCTACTAGTGTTAAGACAGGAGCGCTGAACAGAAAGTGTCCTAAGAACTACTGACAGCTTCTTCCCAAAAGCTAAAAGATGTCACTTTCATCAGCTATTCCTTTACGCCAAAGCACAGAATGGATTTCCAGAGGTTTGTATCTGGTTTTGTGCAGCATTTACCAGCCTTTTAAATTCATTCTGCACTCCACGCCAGCTTCCTTATAGTATTACCTTATATGCAGTACCACATCATCTTACATCCTGCACAAAGCTTTAGCCTGAGGATTTCCAGATGGACACATTTCATCCAAAGCAATTGAAGATCGTTGGGGGGTCATAGGATCAAGGCACACATGCATTTCCCTTCTTTTCCAGCATCCCTCTGGTTAAGCTTGTGCTCCTGAATTGCTCTTTTGCAATAGGGCAAACAAGTAAACCTTTTGGACTCTGGAGATATCTATGACCTAAAGAACCAAGCTTATTTTGCCTTTCTCAGTTTCTCTTTAGAAACCTACCATGCTGTAGGAAAGAAAAAATAGCAGAATGTCTCAGAATTGTAGTTTTTAAGAAATAACAGCATTTATCATTCATGGAGAAAATTTCCAACTGTAACTGCCTCTTGAGGAAAGGAGATCAAACACTGTCATACCTGTTTCACTGCTGGCAAAACAGATGTATATGAAGTGATTGCTAAGACAGATTTACAAAGTTGGCAGTAGCCCTGGACTTACAATCCTGGTGTTTCAGCTTCTGGGCCATGCATTTCCCATTTGAATTACTAGTTTTTGTGAGTTGGTAGACTTCATTGATTTCTTTCTATGATAACAATCAGTAGATTTTTGAATCCCTAAAAATGAATACAGAATTACTGCAAAAGTTGAATTAGTACTTTTCATTAATACCTTTGTCATTGGTAATAGAAAGAGAAGACAGTGGATATAGAGACAAACACCAGCAGCAAAACTTTTATTGCAGTCTGCTTCTGAAGTCCATTCAAGGGTAGGACAGTGGGACAAAAATAATTATAGGGGTCTTTCTACACAAAAGAGCCAGCTATTTAGAGGGAGGCAAAGTCATTTGAATGTCAATGAAATAACCATTATAAGGCTGAGAAGCATTGCCATTTATTAAAAGATCTAAAGAATAGTTGCGTGCACTATAGCAATCTTCTAGGTAGGAGTTGTTAATTTGCTATAAAAACCTGTTAGGGACAGGGCAAAGCGTAATTAAACAGGAGACAATACACACTGTGAAAGGAAACTGGATTTGGAATTTTACAGCCTCTTATTTCAGGTTTCTACATGAAATACTATGCTCTATAATCTCTCCTTAATAACACCTATGTATTTCTAGCTCCCACAGTGTTTTGCATTTCATTTCTAGCAGTGGTCTCTTACAGCCCCAGAAGGAAGGTAAAACAAGGTTACGCACTTGAATGCTCTCCCGCTCTTTCCAGCCTCACAGCAACCCTTCTTCCGAGAAAGTCTCTCATCAATGCCACTCCTTAATTGGCCCGAGAGCCCCTCTTTAAACAAAGCTCTCGTCTCCCACAGGGCCGAGTTCTTTCTGCTATTCTGGCACAGCTAAATCCAGACAAGGATGTGCCATTTACCAAAACAAGTGCACTATAAATTCAAATGTGCAGGAAAGAAGTAAAGTACTTCCAGAAGTTCTGCAGGTAGGACAGACTGCACAGGAGAAAACTTATCTGGCTGTAATCCTGCCAGGTTTTTACTTCAAGCAAAGGTGTTAGACACTGGTGGTAGCACTCAGAAACAAATACAGGATCAGTCAGAGACCTGGGGTAGATTCTGCACTAATGAACTGAATGTGGTCTGAACCTCATTCTAACATACAAAACTTCATTCCAGAGCTACAGCATAGATAACAAGTTCATGAGTTACACAGAAAAGGACTTCGTATTTGTAAAGACGATCACTTTTTAATGTTAATATAAGTCACTAAGAATATTCAAGTGCAGTGCAGCTTTAACCTCTTCTTTAGCAGAAACCCTCCTATCTTCACTACCTGCCCACGCACTGCCAGGCACATAAAAGTGATGTGCAAAAGAAATCCTACATTTTCCTTCCCTTGACTGTTACTCCAAGGCACTGTGGTTCTTCATGTACTCAGCTAGCAAAGCTACGCATGCTATGCTGTAATATCTGAGAAAACAGCAAATACAAATGGCCACAGCAGGACTAAGTAGCAATCATTCAGTATCTCCTGGGACACCCACAGTCACAGAATTCTCCACTGATATATATCAGACAAGTATGTTATTTAAAATACTTTGTTCTTTCTCCTTTATTTAGCCACAACACAGATACAAGAGCAGGCAAACCCCTTCCAGTGGAACTCACTCAATAAACCTGTTCAGATCAAGATTCTCATGAAATCAAGCAAAATATATGTACATGCACACACTCTCAGGCACACGAGAACACAGCAGAACCCTTAAAAATGAGGAGTGGCACTTAACTGCACCTAAAACACAATGGAAACATCACCTGCTTAGGATGCATCTGTTAAACAAGGCTGTGCACTGAACAGGTTCCCACTGTACCACTCCACTGGCTACTTAAATACCAGCATCAACTGTTTCAGCTGAAAATATGAAGCTGACAGAGAAGAGTCTGACCTCAGATACCCAAGAATTCAGGCTAGCAGAACAATTACTCCACTGTAACTCAAAGCAGGATCTGGCCCTATGGAATGAAGATGCATATGACCAGCTCTGGCTGGGAGATTACTGCAGGTGACAACTTTAATTCCCAAACCCACCACCAATACAGCATGCAATTTGACTTTTGTACCCTCCCCACTCATACTGCTCCTTTTGATGGAAGAAATAGTGTAATGATTCTAAGAAGTGCGTAAATATCTACTAGGGACTAGAGTAAGATTGTCAAATATACCAAATGGCTTCAGAAGAAAGAGGAATTGGGCTCTTAGATAAAGCTGGTCAAGCAGGTCCATCTGATTTGTCAACGCATTGCTCAGAAATATACGACTCAAATATAGTTTACAAAAAGAATAATTCTTTATAGAATATCTCAGTGTCAAAATACTAACAAAAACACAGCTTGTAAATTCTGAGAAGAATGGTCTTGGAAAAATTAGTAACAAAACTAAGTCATCGCTAACAATAATAGGTGGTATCTCTTCATAAAAAGCCAGTCTGATGTACTCAGGAAAAATGAAACATTTGAAACAAACTGTTTACAAAAGTGACTTAAATGCTCAGCAGAGATCTAACACAAGTGTTAACAAACCACTATTGTAATTTTATTTTTGGACAACTTCAGCAACTATCAAAAAAAAACCAACCAAACAAACAGCCTGTTAATACAAAAAATGTAGAAAACAAAAAGAAAAATCCAATGAGACAGTTTTTAGACAAACTCAGTTAAGGTGAAGCTGTACCTTTGTCCCAGTTACTAAGAACTTCAACTGTAAGGGTGGCATAACCCAGCTCAGCTAGGTCTAGGCTTGCCCACCCTTGCTCAAGAGTCATTTCTCAGAAGGCGCCAATCTCAGTCCCCCAGGGTCTGTAGGGTTTGCTGAGCGCCGCTGACTGCGTTGGTGTCGATGGGCTCAGCACGTTGGGGGACAGCAGATGAAAGGAGCCAAACGAGAAGGGGAACGCCGACAAAGATGCCATGGAGGAGAGAAGAGGAGGAGACAGTTTGGTGGTAGATGTGACCACGGGGAGCACTGGTCCGACGCTGCCATTTGGGGGCACTCTGAGTGAGGGAGTTTCAGCATGTGGGGCAGCAATTCTGGTCTGGTGATGTGGTTCTGTGGGAGATGCTGTAGTACTGGTGTTACCGTGCCCGTTTTGAGCCAGCAGCAACGGGTGAGGTATGTGAGGGTGATGTCCAAAGGCGCTGCCCCAAGGAATGTGTCCAATGCCGGCGTGTGCACTGCTCGCCGCCTCCCGCTGAGAGGCGTAGTTGTTGAGATGAGACACGAGCCGCACCCGCAGGGGGTCAGAGGCATCCAGACCCTCTATGATACTCAGGTATCGAGCAACCTCAGCCAGGCACTCTCGAAACCCGAGACTCCGGTAGTCCATAGCCAAAGCGTGAGCATCAAAATAACCTAAGAGAAAAGAACAGAGAATGAAGTCTTAAGATGTTGTTTCCTAGTTATTGTCTATGAGTAGCCTCCCCACTCCACCCTCCCCTATAAGCATATTTCACTTGGATGTGGTTAGTATTCCCAACCATAGACTAGCTGCCAAGCTCCTTTTTTTTTTCTTCCTTTTTTGTTTAACAAGCTTTTCTTTTATATCTGTGCTGTGATGCTGCAAGTCCCAAGACCAGGCACAAACTGCCATTTTTAAACTGGAATTACCCACTGACACTGGAGGAAAGTATTTTTGTTCCTTCCGTTTGTCTCCCTTGTGCAAGTTAAACCACAGCACACTGAAATTCATTAGAAACACAAGTCCTAACTTATCAGGGGAGACTTGAGCAGGCAAAGTACTTTTTTCTTAAAACGGTCTTTCAGCATTTTACTTATTTCATCCTGTACTTTTTCCTAGTTTTGTTCTGAACTTTCAGAAAATTAGAGAAACAAGCATTAGATACCAATAATAACTGCTTTCCAAGCTGCCAAAAGCTGATTCACTTCTCAGTGCTGACACACTGCTAGAGAGACGCAGTCACTCTCCTCTAGAACAACTCTCTCCTCAGAGCTAGCACTGCAAAACCTTTCAGTGCTAGTGATGCCACAAATCTTGTGAAGTAGAGAAAGTCCCTCATTCCTGATGAAGCGTAAGAGAGCTGCCGTTCACTTTCTGCAGGCACTGCCAGTGCTCAGGAATGCGCTGCTCTCCCAGCAGCCTCCCTGCAGGGCTGCTGACTCTGTCACGCACAAAACTTTACCTTTCCCTCCTGCTGTATGCAGCATTTTCAGGTGATCGACAGTCATCTGCAGAATCTCTGCTTTTTCCAGCTTGGCTGATCCCTAGGAGAGAAGGGAAGGCACGAAACGTTTCAGGCAGCACCAGAGCCGTTTCCGAGGGGTGACGCTCCCTCCCGGGCAGGGATGGGGGGCACCGGAGGGTCGCTGGGCGCTACCTGCTTCTCAAAGGCGCTGGGCACCAGCCTCCTCAGCTCGGACAGGCTGTTGTTGATGCGGTCGCGGCGGCGCTTCTCGATGATCTAGGGCAGAGAGCGGGGTCAGCGGGGCCGTGCCGGGCTGCGGGGAGCCGCGGCCGGCCGGCGGGCACTCACCCCTCGGCGCCTCTTCCTGGCCAGGATCTGCGAGGTGGTGGAGGGAGACATGGAGCCCGCGGCCGAGCTGAGGTTCCTGCGGGGAGCAGCGGGACACGGTCACCGCGGGGGTTCGGGGGTGCCGGGGCTCCGCGGCGCGGAGGGGAGGTGGGGGGCGCGGCGCAGCCCGCCGGAGCTCACCCATTCTCGTCCGCGCTCTCCTTCTCCACCTCGACGGCCTCATCCAGCTCCTCGCTGTCCGACGAGCTGTACTCGGGGTGCGCCCGCTTCATGGCACCGACGGCGGGGCCGGGGGCGGCGGGGCGCGGGCGGCCCTCGGGGAGGCGGCGGGCGGCGGGGCGCGGCAGGAGCGCGCCCAGAGCGCGTCCCGCGCCTCGCCCGGCGCCCGTCTCTCCCATGGAGTTCCCACGCCTGGCGGGAGGGCAGGAGGCAGCGGGCAGAGGCAGGGAGGGACGGAGGGAAGCAGGGAGGGATGGATGGATGGACAGATGGATGGAGGGATGGAGGGAGGGAGGGATGCGGAGGCGGCGGGCACGGACGCAGCCCGGCAGAGCACGCCCGCCGCCGCCCGCCGCACAGCACCGCCACGCGCGGCGCCCGCCCGCCCCCATTGGCCGCCACCGCCGCCGCCCGAGCCAATCGCCACCGGCCGGTGCCGAGGCCACGCCCCCACCGCGGGGGAGGTGCGGCCGTGGGAACGCGGCGGGGGGCGCGGCGGGGGGCGCGGGGGGGGGGGGGAATGGATGGATGGACGGATGGATGGATGGATGGATGGATGGATGGACGGACGGATGGATGGACGGACGGACGGACGGACGGACGGACGGACGGACGGACGGATGGAAAGGGCATGTCCCCAGCTGGGGAGCCGGTGTGGGTGCTGTGCGGATGGACAGGACAGGGCAGCACCCTCGGGGCTCCCGCCAGTCCTTCTGCCAGCCACTCCTGCTGGGGTCCCGAGCAGCCCAAGCCCAGCGGAATCACTGCACCCTGCAGAGGCTGATGAAGCTTCTGGGAGCTTCCCTAAGGGCCTGGGAGAGCTGAGTGAGTACAGTCACAGAATAAATGAGGTTAGAAGAGACACGACAGACCAGACAATGGCTAGTGCCACACCAAGTGCCACATCCACTCTTTTCCTAAATACCTCCAGGTATGGCGACTCCACCACTTCCCTGGCAGCCCATTCCAGGTATCACCTTTGCTGTGAAAAAATACCTCCCCATGTCCAACCTGAACTTCACCTGGCACAGCTTAAGACTATGTCCTAATATCCTGTCATTGATTGCCTGGGAGGAGATGCTGATCCCCACCTGGCTACAAGTTCCTTTCAGGGAGTTCTAGAGAGTGATAAGATCATGCTGATCCTTTTTTCCAGGTTAAAAGAAGAAGGGAAAGCCTTAGCAAGCGTAGCCTGCCCTCTTTCAAAAAAAAAAAAAAACCAAAACAAAACAAAAAAACCCTTGGGGTTTTTCAGTTTGTTGGCAATGCAAGGGAAATCAAGGCATCCCTCTTTCCTGTACCCTTCCAAACTGCAAATCTGCCAGCCACATCCTTTTCTTGTTTACTCCCCCCACCACGTACTGTGGCAGCGGGCAGAAGCAGGAACAGCTTTTAGAAGCTGAAAGCACATGGCCTTTGCTGGCAAGGAGGGAGGAATGACAAGAAAGGTCAGCACTGGATACAGGATGTGTGGAGGCCTGGCTGGCACACTTGCTGTGAGTACATGCTGCCTTGCACTCAGCAGGGCCCTCAGCCTGAATGCTGCATTCCCCCAGCCAGTCCTCTTCATTCTGCCAGCTTTCTCAGGCTGAGGTACAGGCAAAATAGGACAGGTGAAATGAGGGTGTACTCTTTGAGGTGGTTTCATACTAATTAAATTTTCATTTACATGGAGCCTTTCAACTCAGGCTCCCTTCTAAGCTGATTCTTCCACGTTTCACAATCGGATGGACTGGAGGATAACCAAGTTGAGCATCATGTGAGAGCAAAGAGTTGATGAACCCAGATATTCCCATTCTAAGGCCCTGGGATAATTACCTTCAGCCTCCCATTGATTTAGGTTACCAGCACAGGGTTGCCTCAGATTTCATGGAGGTGCCCATATTTTTGCAAAGCATCTCAAATAGGAGGGAAATGGAAGCAGGGACCAAGCTAAAAGTAGCAAAAGACCTGCAGTTAAGAAGATAGAAACAGTCTTGTAGCCACCTGTAAGTAGCTGACAGAAGATGAGAGAAATCTTCTATTCCCACATTATTTTTTTGACAAAGCTATCCTTTCTGCAGTGCTTTAATTAAGTTTGTGTCAGCACTTCTATTACATCCACCTTCCCAGCCTCTATATTTTTGTTGTGAAACTTGTCTGCCTGCACCACTTGCTTCTACAGGTCAGTGAAAGGTACAGTGACATTTATGCCTTTCTGGCCTGCAGACTACACATCTGAGTTCTCCCATCCAGGCAGACATAGCTCTTCTCCTACTGTGGAGAAAACAAACATGGTAGAAGAAGTTCCTTGGGATTAAGCATCGATTGCTTGGGAGTAGAGGTGTGGCCACCCAGGTTCCCAGCAGCTGGATCCTGGAGCTGCCCCCATCTTTAGCTCTGTGAACCACTGGGGCCAGGCAGCCTCCAGAGAAGCTTTCTGAGCTTGTGTAGACACTGACTTCTGCAAATGATTTACAAGAACGGGCAGGTAGAGTGTAGCTGTGCCCCCACACAGTGTGAGCAACTGTGGCTGGCTATCAGCAGCTGTGGGAAGATAGGAAACGTTTGCCTGTGTGCGGTTTCAATCTCCCCATCCAGCACTAGGAGGAGCAGACAGCAAAACCAGCTTTAAATTGCTCTTGTGCTTTTCTGGTGCTGGGCGTGGATCCATAGCATTGGTCTAATTGTTAACCATGGCCCAAAGGGAAATTTTATTAGCTCAAAATTACCAACACACCAAGACAGTGCAGTGATACATCTCTCTCACCAGAAGGGCAGACAGGAGAGCAACCCATTGCTCACCAAACCCTAAGGAAATTAAAACAGGGCATAATAAATAGAACTGAATTTCAGGCCCCACTGATAGCTTTGCACCAATGAGGCTATGAACCTTAAGAGATGACAGCCCTCTCTCTTGTCCCCTACACTGTCACTGTGCCTCCCTTTTCCCTGTTTCACATTGCAGTGCCCTCTTACCTCCTACCTGCCCACCTCCTATTGCAGCCACGCCATGCCTCAGTCACTCCACCACCCAAATATTTCATCTCACACCCCTTCCTATGACACACACCACCACACTTGACATGCCCTCACTTGCCAGTCCCCCCTGCCTCAGTTTCCCCATTGCTTCCAGGTCTGGCACAACTCAGCATTTCCAGATCCAGGGTCTACAGCCACATCGGGCCCCCAGTGCTGGAAGCAAGAATGGCAGGACAGGGTACAGCCCTCACACCAAAGCAGAGACTCAGGTTTGAGACAGACAGGGACTTTTGTGGCAACTGTCCTTTGGAAGGGAGTAGTGCTAGTTTTTGTGTGCACCCCACATTTTTCTTTGTTGGATGCCCCCCTGTAGTGATTTCAGTGCCACTCAAAGCGCTTGAAGTGGTGTTGTTTATTGCTGCTGCAGGCTTCCCTCCAGCAGAGACCTGCCACTGCTGACCCTTGCTCCAGTGTGTGTGTGCTAAATTAACTCCCATCCCCTTCCTTTAGGTTTTCTCTCCCAAGAGAGCAAGTGCTTTGAAGAGTAATCCCGTCAACCTGTCACCCCAAGTCCCGGAAACTCGCTGTTGCTATGGTTACTGTGCCCAATTCAACTGGTGGCTCTGGCACTCACATTGCAGCCAGGCAAAAACATCAGTGCTCCCCCCTGACCTCCCCTCCCTGCATATATCCAGCTGCAGCATCAGCTCTGCAAGCAAGAGGCTGTTGCTCCAAATCTTGTGCTTTTCTTTACGGAGTTTTGGCTGAGTGTTGATTGTTGGTGCCACTGACACAAGGCAAAAGTAGTTATCCCAGGTTAAATGGAAGTGCTGGAGAAGTGAATGGGAGTGACAGAGGTGGGTTTTAGACTCCTTGCATGATCTGTTAGCAGTACTGTGACTATAAATATGTTTTCTCAGGAGCTGAACTCTGACACTCCTGTCTGCACATGCCAGAGTTCCAAACAGGCAGCTCAGAAGTTAGGCTGGGGTGCTCCCTAAGCACACTGGCTCCAGCTTCTGCCATGCAGGCGCTGAGTGTATGTGCTGGAGCCGTTGCTGCAGCAGAAGGACACAAACCTCACACATTCACATGCATCTGTAGTGATAGCCAGATCCTCTCTTCAAGCTGGCCAAGGACAGGGATAAATAATATTTGCATCAAAGTCTTTACTGTAAGCAGAATGCTCCTGCTGCAGTGCTTCTGCTGCAGGATGAGTTTCAAGTGTCATCTTTTGGAAGCAGTGTATAGCTATGAATAAGCAAGACTAGCACTGTCAGCACAGTAAGAGCAGCAATGCAAACAGATATCTGTTCTGGATGGCTCCAACAGGTACTCTGCATTTACCTGCTTAGGCTTCAGCTCCTCTCTAAAACCAGACCTGTGAAAAGGCTAATCTGTGAATGCACATTCAAGCTGCTGACAGGCAAAGCTACCTCATATTTCATCAGTCCTGTGATTGAGGTGGGAAGAGGCAGATTGGCTATTTTATTACCTGGTTTCCTTTCCAATAAATTTTGCCTCTTTTCATGCAAGGTTCCATCTGACCTAAGGCTTTTACAGATGTCAGCTTCTTCCATAAATATCCCTTCTTCCATTTCCACAACACAGGCTGTCCTGTGGAAAGACACTGCAAGATACAGGAAGACCCTACAGGAAGAATGACACCAGGTCATGTTAATTAATGGCTGTCTCAGAATAGATGCAAAAGGAGGCAAACTTGACATGGCACAGTGTAGGAAATTCTGGTTTGACTTGCAACCACCTTTGATCCTAATCACGGGAAAGTGACATCCTGTTCATATGTATAACAGTGCACCTTGTGGAAGATCACACAAAAAGTCAGCAACACATTATTGGCAGGACAGCCTCTGACAGCTTTGCCAAATCTAGAGGGGACAGTAGCCTCAAAATTGTGTCAACAACTGACACCATCCCACCATGGTGACAATTTCACTGTAAATGGGTAGTTCATTTACACCAGTGATCACTCCTCACTATCACAGTCAATTCTCACTATCACAGTACAGTTAGCACCAAATATCACAGAATAAAACCAGGTTTTCCTTTCGCCAATTTTTTTATAACCAGGTTCTCTGGAGTTTGCCAAAGTAG